AGGGTACACGGCTTTCTTGGAAGTCATTGGATGGATGGACCAAGCCTGGACTTCACTGACAACTGAAACCATCCTGTCGGGATTCAGAAAGGCCAGAATAATTGTAACTGGAACTGATGCTGAGTCTGACGACAGCTACACAGAAGAGGAAGCGGCGCATTGAGGATGAAGCATTCATTGGATTTGGTGATTGAGAGTTTAGTAAACTTGTTCTGTTCTGTTGTTTATACTATATTTATCTTTTCATATGTAACGTTACCAGCCTGTTGATCTTGGACTTGCCTTTCAAGATGAAATGTGAGTTCCCGGTCTCTGATTTTATAAAGATAAATTTATCCCAAAAAGTGCAACTTATAGTCCAGTGTGACTTATGTATGTTTTTTTCTTCTTCATTACACATTTTTGGGCTGATGCGACTTATACTCCAGAGCAACTTATATTCCAAAAAATATGTTAGTTTTGATACTAACTTTTGTATCGATTAGTATCTGATTTTTGATACTTTTGACAACCTTATCTACTATAGTCAAGTAATGTCCCTTGTGTATGATCGATTAAGTTTACCTAAGCCTATGTACCCAAAGATATCTGCTCATTCGTCTCTCCATTCTTAGCTCTGGTTCTGGCCTCATTCTGGTTGTGGCCCTCTCTGGCAGCACACACACAGGGGTGACTCGCAGCAGCTGGCTCCAGTCCAGTTTTACAGCGAGGACGGAGTGAATGAGGTTTTGATTGAGTAGCATCACCCGTCTCTCTGTGTGGAGTGTGCCCTTCAAATGCCAGGAGCACTCAGGTATCTCATATGTAACCAATGCAGTCGCAGTCTATCACGGACAGTCATAGCACATCACTACCTATAAACTCAACTGGGGATGGTCTGGTACGTAGATTTATATATAAATGGATGCTAATCTGCCAGTCGCTGTGTTCCAAATAGGAAGTGAGTATGAGGGCGCTTTCGGCTCCATCGATTCTGGCTCCCATTGGCTTTACATTGAAGAATTGTTGGACTATTCTCTCTGTAACTGCTGCAGTGAGCCTTGTTGTTTTGGTCTTAAAATGCTCGTATTAACCCACTCTACACGATCCTCATCTTTTTATTTAGCTATTTTTTCAATTCATATCCCTAATGTGGACCAGGCTCCAAATTCGCCTCTATAACTGCTAACCTTGTGAGCTTCATTTGACTAGAGCTGCTGCTATGGGAGATGTCACACTCCCATATCTGTCCACTTCATAATACAGTCTGTGGTTTGATATGAGTTATTTGTGCAGATATGCGATATCTGCTGTGGCCGATAGATATTTGCTGATACAGATGATATGATTTTAAAATCAATAAAAAGCCTACTGATTTATGTTGTTATTTCATAGCTCACAATTTTTCACATGTATTTATCTGGGATCTAAAAAAATGAGCATGAAGGACATATCGGTTGTCCCTGAATGTCACGCCTAACCCCTAATCAAGGGGTCATCAAACTAAGGCCCCTTTGACCAGTCCCCCAGCCCCTCTGCCCCCCACTACTTGAACTGGCCCTATGAGGCAATCCTCAAAAGTTGTCATGGCCTATTTTTTTTGTATTACTTTCTGGCAAATAATAACATGTCTTGTATTGTGTTGAAATTTTATTTTTATGAAGTATTTATATTTAAACAATTATATGAAGTACATACATTTGCAGCCAAATTTTTGTCACCTGACGAGCTCGAGATCAAACAGTGACAGTCAATGCACGAGCAGAATACTGTAGTGTAGTTAACAACAGCAAAATGACGAGTGTTAAAGTACAAAAAGTTGACAGAGTGCAGAGTTTTCAAAGAACAGTGGACGACCGATTATATTTTTGTTCAGTGTAAGGACCGTGCAGTTTGTCTGATATGTAAAGAAAGTGTGGCGGTTTTCAAAGAATATAATCTGCGTCGTCACTACAAAACCCGCCACAAAGAGTATACTAGCTTGCGAGGGCAAACGAGAGAAGACAGGATTCGGCAGATGAAAGGTGGACTAGCTGCTCAACAGGATGTATTCCTTCGTCGGCCGACGTGACCCTGGCCCCCCATCACAGCCAGGAGCGATGATGTGGCCCCCAGAGAAAAAAAGTTTGGTGACCCCTGCCCTAACCCCTCATACACTACATAGACCTGTACTATTTGCTACACTATATTGTGCACTCATTCACACAGCAATTCAGACATGCAGCTCATGACACTGGCGTCTGGATGAAAAAAGTCTGTTAAACTCTGATAAAATGTGGTATGAATAGAGTTGAACTATGTATAAAGATTTTGCCAGCTGTGGAAATTACTAATCTTTTAACAAGCTCAGTTAAGTGGCTCGTGTTAGTAACTTTACACCATAATGGTTTATGTAAATGTATTTTCTTCATATTCAGGATCAACAGTGCGATAAACCAGCACTTCTATCTGCTTTCATGTCATGTTGTCTTCATTTAAACACCTCACTGCGCTGTTGTTTTTACAACTCTAGTAATGCATTGAGATAGAGTATATTGACCGGTCTACTGACTAGTGCTGCCCACCACTTTCCAAGGTGCACTGTCGGAAATTTTGAGAGGACTACTTTTTCATCTGCTGGACATTTGGACACCACTAAAAATGATATGACCCCCAAATAGTGCCCTAAGTAGGGAATAGTTTGGACATTCGGACACAGCCAGAGAGTGTATTTATACGAATGCTTCAAAGGTAATTGGTCGGGAGGCAAAGGTAGCAGGCTGTGATTGGCTGACAATTACAGACAGGAAACAGGAACCAAGTGGAAGAAAATGTCACTATCTAAAAGCGTGACACAATTTTAAAATAGCCAGGAAAAATACAATTTCCTGGATGATTGAAGCAAAAATATATAGTAACCCGGCTAGCAGAGACCAGTCCGTTATCACAGACATCTGCTTGTGTGGTCACGCCTTTATGTCAGATGCCCTTCCTGATAGTAGTTTATTTATTCAAAGCACAGCGCCTCATGATTGTTATAAATATCTGTGTCAGTCATTCTCAGGTGGTCTGACCATGACCTACTTATGAACCTGACCTATTTTTACACCTATTATTAGAAACATTTGCGAGATTTTTACTACATATTTTGAGTATTGTGAATTAAATTTTACTGTGTCATGTTATTAAAAGAGGTCTAGAGAAAATACACGAATGAATCTACACTGACATGTTTCCAGTGACCCAATTTTGGGGACAAATCCCAGTCCTGGAGGAAAAGGGATTTTGAACTCTTCAAATCAGAAACTGTCTGTCTGAGTGGTCAAAAAGTGTATTTTTATCTTTTGTACTGTATTGTTTGAGTTGGGTTAGATTAGACTAGGTTGTACAAATACTGCTGTAAATTATTATCTTTAGACTATTATTAACAGGCACAGTCCCACACCTGAATGAAAATGTATTTTGTAGCATATTCTGTTAGAGAAACTGTATTCTGAATCTTTTTGTAAAAACACAACATTAAAATAACTTAACATTTTTTTTGCACTGCCTGTTATGAATGTCTTTATCACTGAATACTGAAGTGAAAACACACTCACTACAAGAACAGTGTTTCTTACTATTATTAGAGTTTAAACGTCAAATTACATGAAGAAGTACTGCATGTATTCCTTTCATTTTAGGATTGTAACTGTATACTGAACAAAACCAAATGACGGACTAACAACAACTTAATATTATTCAAAATTTCTATTCCACATAGTTTTGGTACATGTAGTTAATTCCAAACACTGCAAACAGCCTCACCAATTACTGTATTTTTCAGACTATAAGGCTCACCAGATTATAAGGCGCAATATCAATAAATTTGAATTATCTCGTCTATTTTCATACATAAAATGCACCGGATTATAAGGCGCATTAAGTGAAACAAACGGACTGATACTGAAGCCCAGGCGTCCACGATCCATTAGCAGATCGTGGCGTAATTCGCCTGCCGTTGCCTCCCTGTCTTGGTGAATGTGAAATTATGAATGTGGGTAGATCATTTAAGTTCTTTTTTTTTTTCTATGATAATAATGTGTTTAATGCAGCTTTGCACACATTTCTTTATGTTTTATAGAAACAAAATTTAAAACCACATGGCTAATTGCATAAACTATAAGCACTGGCAAAAAAACAGCTCGCTCCTTGTGCACTGATGTGGTCAGCTCCTGTTGGACTTACTTCACGAGGCTCCTGACTATGGTAACTGTAATGCTCTGACAATCCACCAAGATTTGCAGCTTCATAGCTTACCAAAGTGGTACTAAAATATTTCGACAGAATTTTGAGCGCCGTGTACCACATAAAATCAGGTCGGGGTCAGTAAGCACAAAAATTAATACCGGATTATAAGGCGCACTGTCGATTTTTGAGGAAATTAAAGGATTTTAAATGCGCCTTATAGTCTGAAAAATACTGTACTCAAATATCACACTCACAAGCAAGGTGGGTGAAATGTCTTACCCAAGGACACAGCACACACAAGAAATTTCTTTGAACCACCAACCATTCATTTATAAGTCCATTCCTCTACCATTTCAATATTGCCAATTTTCTACATCCACTAACACTGAGGTTTAACTCATATTAGCAAGGTGGGTAAAATGCCTTGCCCAAGGACACAACACTCGCAGCCAACCATTAAGTTATAACCTCCTCATATTGCCCCTTGACTATGTGCTAACACTGGGGCATACAATTTAACTTATGAGTTCAAAGTCATTTTTTATACAGGTTTGAAAGTAGCCCTGAACATTTTTGGTAAACACTCTTCTAAGAATATTAAACCCAAAAGTGCCCTGAGCTTCTAAAAACGTGTGAAATATCAGTCCCCAAGCACCAATACCATCACCCGCTCTGAACTACCACCGAAATACTTTCTTGTCCCCGGCTTTAAAGTACACTTTTCATGTAAATAGAAGGACTTCAAATGGAGCCAATCCCCTCTGGACTGTGCGCGTGCTGCCTTCAGGTACCCTCAGATAAGTGGGACTCACCATTGTCTGTGGACACCATGATAGTGTTCGGAGTGGTGTCCCGAGCCGCTCCTCCGTTCTCGAATGCGCCGTAGCCCTCGCTCTCCTGCAGTTGCCAGTTGAGACCGAAAAGGTGCATAGCTGGAACACAAATACAGGAGAATATGTTAGCCTAAAGTGTGAACTACGCAAAAGGAGATGTTTATGGGTCAGTGAAGATTATGGGAGAAAGGGACGAAACAAAAAATGAAGCAACATCAAGATAAACCAAATAAATAAATAAATATCAATCAGTCAGTTGGTTCCAAAATGTTACAACAACTGCTGCTATAGAAGTTGGCATCACAATACTAACATTTCAAACTCAATTTCAGTACTAAGGAATATACTCGGCACTCTGTACGGATTCTAGTATCACAAAAAATAATGATAATAATAATAATTTCATAATAGCAGTTTCTTTTTACTACCATGTGGCCTTTTATCTGTGTAATGCCTCATTCGTTCAGATAGGATTCATAGTGGTCCATCTTTCTAAAGCTATTCAGGAAAGGTTCATTTCTGTCCTCTGAATGTGACTCTTTTAGTATTGAACCCTGCTCAAATGAGTTTCTAGTTTCGAGACAAGTTTTAGTGACAATTAGTATCTGGCTTTTTATACTTTCGACAACCCTAATTTGTAGTAGAGCAACTCATTTGCTGGAATACTGACAGCTTCAATCAAATGGATACAAATTGAGGTGACAACCAAGATTGCCAAAATGGATGAAACTATCAAAAAAAAAAGTCTAAAAGATAAAAACATTTTGAATAATAATTAAACTATGTGTAGTCTGCACTCTTACAATTAAAAAAACTAACAAATACACAATCGCAACTGAACCCAGGTGACCAGTCATGAGTTTAGCTTGTGCTCAAAATTTGTAGCAAAATGACTATGTGACACTATCCTACGTGCATCACTGATTAAGAAAATAAAATTGGAGAACGAAGAAAGTACAGAGAAGTAGGCGTATGGCCCGCGGCGGTGAAAATGGGGGCTGATCGGCAATATGGCGTCTGGTAAATAAGTGATTAAAGATTGCTCAAACGTGCATGAATCACTCCTAATACAACTCTGAGAGGGTAAATAAGAAGATGAAACAACTGTGACATGGTTACAAGCTCTGAAAAGTCAATTTTACATAATAGGGCCTCTTTAAACCATATGGGACATACAAGCATTTTAATTGGCATGACAGTGTTATAATTTTGTCCGTTACATATTTGAAAATGTTTGCACTACCAGGGTCAAAGTAAAATTAAAAAGTAAAAAAGTAGGATTAGAAAATTGTACAAAAATCTCTAAAATACTTAAAATTTGGTGTCAAAATCTGTTCATTTGAGTAACACTAACCCATGTATGAACCTGTAACATTTCTATTTCTAAACCTTCCACTTCAAATTTCAGTTTTTGCTTAGAATCGCCCGGACCCCACACGGAGAGATTTGGGACTTTATTATAGTGTAAAAAACATGGCTTAGCAGTCTGCTCCTGTATCCAGGGACCAGAGTGTACAGCATCAAAGCAGGCCCGAGGCGGCTCCACTGACACAGGGAGATCCCGGGCTCACCTCACCCGCCCACACCTCACCGTCTTTGGGCAGGGCCGCTCAGACTGCAGCCTGTTTGAAGACGGCACTCTGGTTCTCCATGGGGCTACGTGTGCACTCAGCCCTCAGGCACACTCTCCAAAGCAGATGTTGAAAATCATCTTTGTTATTCTTCTGCTCAAATTGAGACGTAACCTTATTTTTCTAAAGGCGATAATAATAAGTGAGCTTGGTGCAAAATAAAAAGATGCTTGCTGGTTTATTCCGAGCACATCGCAGTCTTTTAAAGAGAGAGATTAGCATTTTTCCTCAGAATGTTTTTCTTCTAAACGCCTAAATCTAACTGTGTGCTGCCTTCATTGGCCTCTGCGATTTTCAGTAGTTGGTGACATGACAACAGACTGCTTGTCTCCATGGAGTGCATTGCATAGCCTATAATGTTTCACAGTATGGCATTACACTTATCCATCTCCATGAAACAAGCAGGAGATGCCTAAAGGCCACGTTACAGATCGTGTTTGTGTAGAAGTAACCCCACAAGGTATTCTTCAACAATAAAAACACGGAATAAATGGAAGATATGTTTAATGCCACGCCATGGTGCACGCAAAGCAGTAGCCATGGCGGTAACTAAGTGGCCAACCTGCATAAAAGTGACATAATGCATTTTTAAATCCAGATGAAACCCTAATAAGTACTCATTTCACTAGTTCAGTGTAATTTGTATAATATGGTTATATAGTTAATTCTGTATTCCTGCACTGTGGCATTGTTGTCTCTTCAATGCTTACATTATTACTTACTTTTTATATTTTGCAATAGGAGTATTTATCTTGTACCTCTTTGATTGTCTTTGGGTAGAAGGAGGCAGTTAAAGTGCCCATGACAGGTTAGACTAATCATTTTATTAAGATCATTATATTTAAGATTTCTGCAAAAAAAAAAAAAATAAAAATCCACACTCATTTTCCCAATGTGCCCATTTTTCAGTTTTACAATTTTACTTCCAGGTTAGAGATCGTTAGCCAGGCTGGTGCCACCTAGAGCCTCCGCTCAATTTAATTTCTCTCCAGCGACTAGGTTAGGAAACGAAATACACTAGACGGTTTGCAAGAACCCCAGAAGTGCAAGTCCGGGCACCAGCCAATCAGCGAAGAGCCATACATTCAGTGTTGGTGATTATTCCCAAGATCGAGGATTTAACCAAGAGAATGTTTGGTGAATTTTATCAAGGGTTTCCCCTTTACTTTAACGTTATTGTCCTTCTTCCTACGGGATTTGGGAACAGCTTAATATACCAGTTAGGCCCGTTAGTGGCACATTACATACGTGACTATCAAATTGACAGTCGAGCGAACAAATCCTAATGCTGCAAGGCCAGACAGCTTCCACAAAGTGAAACCGGCCGATGAATCAGGCGAAGAGATCGTGACATCACACTAGGGTATTTATACCTGTTACCTATAATCTACACAGAAATTATTATCTGAACAAATACAAATATAAGAAAACATTTTTATTTTGTTGAACTCATGTAAAGTATCAGAACTTAACTTGCTGATCTTGGATAGAATTCTCCCTAGTGTGATGCCATCAATATGTTTTAGAACTCTATAACCTGTAATATATTTTTCAACTTTTCTACACAAATTGTTTCTCGATTGATGCAATAAAATAATTCATATTTACAATAGCTATAATCCCACCAAATTAGAGAATCATTAAAATCTTTAAAACATAGGCTAACCACAATGGCACAGAGAGAACATGTATGTAATGTCATCTCTTTTGTGGAAGGGGACATTAGCCTTTTCCGTGCATTTGGTCTTGGTTAGAATCCAGTCAGTAGTTGGGTCTACTCTGGGATTAGTCCTGGTTTAGTTCTGATATAGTCCCAGTTTAGTCCCGGGTTCAGTCTCAGTTCAGTCCCAGTTTTGACGTGGTGCGTTTATAACTAAGACAGTCTCCTCCCTATGGACTACTGTGTTATTACAAACAGCCCAATTGATGCCATCTTTCTTCCCAGACACCGCTTCCCCCTCTCTTTCTTTATCTCTCTCTCCTCCACCTCTCCTTACCCTCCCTCTCTCCTCCTTTCTCTCCATCCCTTTCTCCTCTTCTCACCCTGTACCATGTTTATGCTGACTGCTTGATGAATAGCTGCACCGCTGATTTGGCGTTTTACGATATAAAGGGGCGAAGAGGGAGTTTGTTTTTTTTCTGCTTTGCCGACTAGTCAATCCACAGGCTCGCACCAGCTCTAATTAAACTGACAATATAATAACAACACTTCTTTTTATCATGGGACAAGCCTGATGCCCTCCCAGACACGGTTATGCGCTAGATTAAAAGATACAAGCAGATTTCTACTCTTGTTAAATCCCAAATGTGGGGCAACAATTAATATCTGCCCTGCGGGTGGTGCTGGCTTCTTGCAGGTGAATGGGCTTGTGAGGTAATTAAGGGTGTTTTATTAAAGGCTCTATGACAGTTTTCATGTTTTTCTAGTACTTTCTCTGTTTGGTGGGATAAAACCTGTGGTAAATATGTTTCATAGAGGTTCATAGATGTTAAGTTTGTGATAAAATGATGTGGAAAAAAGAACAAAAGTACAGAAAGGATGAGTTCTAAAATGGCATATCTGTCATCAACACTGAAAATTGTATCTAAAATTCAGGGACAATTTAAGCAAAAAAGTGGTATTAAGTGGTATTTTTCCTTACAAACAAAACATTGCTTTAACAAAATTATTATGCTTTTTTTTTTTTTTTATTGAGTCAAAGTCATAAAATATTCTTGGCTGAGATTATAGTAGACACAATATTTATGTTTCATTTCCTAATCCATTCATGTTTCGTTTCCTAATCCATTTTTCATTTTCATCCATTTTTCCCCTGGCCTGATTCATCAGTCGGTTTCACTTCGTAAAAACCATCTGATCTTACAGTGTTAGAATTTGTTTGCTTGATGATGGGCGGCTACTTTTTATCATTTAACCAATTGCTGCTATTTGATAGTCACGTATGTAATGTGCCACTAACGGGCCTAGCTGGTATATTAAGCTTTTCCCAAATCCCGTAGGAAGAAGGACAATAACGTCTTTCCCCTTGATGAAATTCACCAACAAAATCTTTATTCTCGCTTTAAATCTGGCTTTAAATCCTCGATCTCGGGAATCGTTGACAACACAGAATATATGGCTCTTCGCTGATTGGCTGGTGCCTGGACTTGCACTTCACGGCGTTTTTGCGAAGCGTATAGTGTATTTTGATTCCTGACCTAGTCGCTGGAGAGAAATAAAATTTAGCGGAGGCACTAGGTGGCGCCAGCGTGGCTGTTTTTCCCCTACCCTTGTGCTAAAACAAGGTGTTAAAGGTATATTAAGATGTTTTTTAATATACCTTTAACAAAATGAAAATGTTGTCATCTATTTTTATTTGTCTAATCATAAATACTGTGTAAGTTGGGGCGACAGTAGCTCAATTTGTAGAGTGTTTCTCCACTGATCTGAAGGTTGGTGGGTGGCCCATAGGTGAATGCTTTCATTGT